GCTTCATACAGAGACTCCGCAGGCCTCCAACGTCGCTGCTCTTGATCTCAAGCGCTGTCGTCCGACACAGCTTTTGATTTGCAAACACGTCGGTCGAGTCCTGCGGACGAGGCACGGACAGTCGCGATCGCCGTTGCGACTGGAATGATGCTAGGTATTCAACCTGTGATACACGGTCAATGAGTACAAGACGCGCGCCGCCGTCCACGGATCATATGCTACAATGTTCTTCTCTTCTCACCACACACACCGTGTCCATCCTCTAGACTCACGCACTCGGCGGAGCGGGGGAGCTACCAACGACGGCGTCCGGCCGCCTCTTGCCCCTGGTGTCCTCTGCGTAGTTCTCGTAGAAGTTATGTTCGTCCTTGCCATGCACCGCCGGCCCGCTGCTGCGCCCGGGGCCGTCCCAGAAGTGGTGCGCCTGGGAGTACACGCCGTACGACGTGGGGACGACTTCGATGAGATCACCGCGGGCGACTTCAATGGCGGGAATCTCGGACGCAGGGAGGCCGATGAGGTACGCCATGATGCAACGGATGACTGAGGCGTGTCCTATAATGAGCAGGTCCTCCTTCTCGCGCTCGAGCTCAATCAGAGTGGGCTCTAGACGGACTACAAGATGCGCGTTGGGCGGTATCTCATGTCAGCTCAGGCATCACTGCCCTTACGTGCGGCAAACGCACCGCAAAGATCGTGGTAGCTCTCGGCACGAGGAGCGCGATACGCGTACGGGTCGTTGACGAAGCGCTCCCACTCGTCGGGATAGTACTTGCGCACTTGGTCTGGTGTGAGCCCGTCCCATACGCCAGGATTGATCTCGGCCATCTGTGGCCGCTCGACGACCTTCACCTTTGCCGGCGGTGCTGGGTCGCTGGCGTTGTGGGTTAGGAATGGCCATGCTGTGTGGTGGGACCGTCGGCGAGCGGATGTCCAGATCACCAGTCGCCGCTCTTTGGGATCGATGCCGCGCTCCGCGAGAGACTTCGCACGTCGCTCGAGGACAAACTCCTTCAGGCGCTCTGCGTACTCCCATCCCGCAGGAGAGAGGTCCGAGTCTGCCTTGTAGGAATGCTCGATCAACGACTGCCCGGACTATATCTAGGATGAGTAGCGCTTATAGAGGATGGAGTCAATCTCACTGCACCCTTGCGAAGTAGATGGTCCGGAATCGATTGTGGATGTTCATGAGGAAGAAGACGACGCGAGATTGGAGGTAGCCGTGGATGTTCTGAACATCATCAGGTGAATACGTCTCCGCCTCTGAGAAAGCGCAGCACTCACGTTGACCATGATCTTCTCTCCGACGTTGATGATACGGATGAAAGGCCATGTTGTCTCCTCCACCGGTTCATAATGGATCTCGTGGTCCTTGATACGGTTGTAGTAATCCGCGACGGCCTTCTCTGGGTCCCAACCTCGGTACTACGGATGGAGGGTGAGCATTTTGACAACTAAGGGTTGGATGAGGACAGGCGACAGCCAGAAGACTGTTCGCAGATAGACGCCACGTATCAGGAGATTTTGGACGGCTAGGATGAGGCAGAGGATAGGAGGTGAGAGGCGCATGAAGTCATTGACATGTCCGCCATAAACTTGTGGGGGCTAACATGTTCAACGTCCGCCTGTCCCATTTCGCAGTAGCGACGCTGGTGTGTCACTACTAGACGCTAATCCAGCTGTCGCAGCTCGCTTACGACACACTCGGAAACGATACCAGTCCATGTCATCATAAGATCGAGGTGTCCGCAGCGGCATGATATGTACACTCCTCGGCGGAGTGACTCGATGAATATTCACCGAACGGGCCATGACGACACTGACAGAAGTCCCCCGGACGACCAGACTCCAGCTCTTCCCCCTTAAACATACCCACTATTTTGACCGCTGTCATATAATCTGCTGCGAAACTCTCGCGCTCAAAAGGAGCAAGCGAGCATTCATCCTCGTGGAGGAAAGCATCTCTCCAGCCGGGAACAATCTGACACACGCAATATTACGCCCTGATAAGAGCTATCCCAAAGCGCTTCATTTCGTCAGATGATGGGCGGCCCACCACCTCATCTCATGAGGTGGTGGGCCGACCGTGTGGTCGTGCGACCGACATGTCGACCACCGACCGCGCCGTGCTCGGGAGATAGGAGGGATGTCTACGCGGTGCCCTGATGAGTACAAGAAAAGGGAACGGACTCACATCAGGCGACGAGATCTTGACACTGCGGATGTTTGATAGGATGAGATCCTCGTTGTCGCACGATGACTCTTCACGGGGTTGTTAGTGGCAGTGCGGCGAACGATGAGGAGTGTATACCAAGCATGATCACATGGATGCCAGCCTTGTCGAACTTCTCCGCAATGGTATTGCGACGCTCCCTCGTGCCGTTGTTGGCGTCGTAAATGACGACCTGCCCGCCTGCATTGAAGAAGTCCCAGATCTGCTGCTCGCATCCCTCCGAGACCCTCTCCCGCAGCTTGATCGTCTCCGGGCTTTTCTCTCCTTATGCCCACTTCAGTGAGTCCTCCGACGCGTCACGATACCACACGCACCGAGAGTGAAATAGTCCGGCGGAAGTTTCTGCGCCCCTCCAAGCACCTTCCGACGGTAGTCTCCGAGCGAGATGACTGCTGTCTTGACACCGGTCCATCGCAGGTAGCGTTCAAGTGCGCGCGAGATGTGTGTCTTGCCCCGAGCCGGAAGACCGACGGTGCACACCAAGATCTTTCCGGCATGGAATAGAAGACCTGAAGCAGTGGTATATAGAGGTGCAACCATCGTGTCCGAGAAAGATAGATGAGCGCGATGGCGGTTGTCGGACAAACCACAAGCCAGCCCGCTGCGCCCTGCAGTACATACCCAGATCTAATCTAATCGTTACAGTTATCTTATCTCTGTGGCTTATGGATCAGGAGTCACGGAGGTGACGGAGGCGTGCGACTGCCGCGCCTAGTTAGGTAAGCGTGGCCACTGGCTTTGCTATAAGAAGGCGATGCTGCCTCCTCTGAGCCACTCACTCATGTTCTCCCCGAACCCCCACGTCTTCAACGAGAACCGCACTCCCCTTCGCCGCCGCATGGCCAAACATCCTCGTCCCCACGCGCGGCAGCGCCAGCAACGCGCACGGCGCTCCGCCACTCCGTCAACCCTCGAACGCGTCAAACAAGCGAAACAAGCAGTCACCGCCGATGCGAAGCGTCAGCGCATGAAGAAGCAGAAGGCGAACGAGCAGCGCAAGCGGCGCTCACAGGCTCTCATGCGCCAGCGGCGGGAACGATGGGGACATTGGGGAGCGATAGCGTTGGAGACGCAGAACATAGTGCTCGGAGATGGCAAGTACGTCGAAGAGCGCCTCGCTCCCTCTGTCTCGCATCCTATGACTCAATTATCGGATGCCCAAGGACCCCCTTCTGCCGCCATCGTGCACGATATCGCCTCCTCTATCGTCCTCAGCCAGCAACGGACCGTCCTCTACCCGCATTATTGTCCCCAGCTGGGCCCATGGAAAGACGCTCGTCCCTCTTCCCCCTTCCTCTCCATGCGGGTTGAGTTCTCTCGCAAGTCGACCCTCAATGTCGCGAGACAGCTTGCTCTATTACACTCTTCCGATTTGCTCCAATCATCCCAAATCGGCCTGCTATCCTCGGCGTCCGACAAGCGCAACAGTTCCTACCTCATCGGCAGCAGCGAGCAGGAGGACGTGATCAAGCGCTCGAGCTCTCTCGTCGCCAACCTCACCGGTCCTGTTGGACAGGCCTTCTACGACGTACATCGTTCTTTCCGCAAGGAGGATCGTAGCGGGCTCCATGACCACGCCATGCTTTACTCCCCCGGCGTCGTGGTCTTCCGGAAAGACTGCGATGACGACACACTCTCCGAATCCGACCCTTCCCCTCCGTCTCGCAAGGAGCGCGACCTGATTGGTGGCGCCTTCATCCCTCCCTACACCGTCAACGTGGTCTCCGCTGTCCCGGTTAATGCTGCGATGGTGCGTAGCAATCACCGCATAGAACCTGGTGAGGAGTCCTTTTTCGAAGACGGCATCCGCGCTTCTATGAAGGAGCGCATGGCCCGTGTCCTGCGTGCGTTCGAACTCAACGGGGACAAAGTTCTTGTCCTCGGTGCTTTCGGATGCTCCTTCGAGAACCAGGTTGAGACCGTCGCTAGCATCTGGGCGGAGCTTCTTGATTGCGGTGAGACTGTTGGTGATGCGAGACAGGTAGCTAGGTTCAAGTACTCCTTCGAGAAGGTCGTCTTCGCTGTCCCTGGGAAGCTTTACGAGCCGTTCAAGAAGGCGTATGAGATGCGTATCCTCGAGGAGCAGTTGACCAGCGCGACCCTTGAGAACTGATTGCTCACGGACGGACTGTTGTATTACTAGCGTTAACCCTCACAGTATACCCTATTCGTATTTGCCTCCTCTGTTGGTCGTGCAGATTTTTGTAGCAGCACGTACAATACACCTACACAGCCTATGCACAGTGTATCTTTATAAGATTTCGTTCTCCCGCAGGATCCTTCGAACGCTGTGTTTTGATGGTGGCCAATTTGCCACGAAGTCCAGGTGGGTGCACAAGCCCGTAAACAAACCTAGAGTTCGAACATTTTCTAGCCAACACGGCTTCAACACACAAGCATGTTTGCACCATACTTACAGCTGTTCTAATATCGACAGGCCCCTTCAAGAGACGTACACAGACAGTCGACTGAGGTGGAACTCGAAAAGTACGTCGTCCACGCCCTGGTGAGCCTACGGGAGGACCCCGAAGCATCGTTTTCGTGGTCCGCCCTCAACCGACAATCAGTACATATTGTTGAGAGGGACCTATCGGTATGGCTGTAAATTCTGTCGCAAGACCGGTGTTTGATCAATTGATCACTCTTTTACTTGGAAAGAGCGAAAGCTTCTCATGCAGATCGTATCGGTACCAAACGACGGTGCGCTGGTTGGCCTTCCTGCCAATCCCCTGCACGTTAGGATAGGACCGTGAAGTTTCAATCTCAAGTCCCTGTCGATTAGTGGTTAGATCATCACGTTGTGGTATCGAGTTGGCAACACAACTCGATTACAAGGGGGCCGTGGGGACGCAGGCTCGAATCCTGCCAGGGACATTCTTTTTTTCTTTGCACGTTGGAAAGCCGACGGACAGGAATTAACACCAGCAAGGAACGTACTTAGGCGACGGACGGTACAGATATGTATACGGACACTGATTTATTAAGAACTAGCCCTAGCCCTTGACTCCCTCCGACCCGTGCGCACGGTAGTCCTCCATCTCCGCGTCGAGCTCCGCCAGTGTCTTCGACTTTGGTTTTTGCTTCGCTTGCTGTTGCTGCGCCGTCTGTTGCTGCCCTCGCTGCTTGTTTAGCCGCCGGGGGCCTTTCTTCGTGCGTAGGCGGACTTTGCCAGAGACGGGTGCGGCGGCGGCAGCGGTGGCGCCTTTCTTCTGGCCATTCCTACGTCAATGTACGTGTGAGAGTGTGTACATCAGTGACAGCGATGATGGCACATACACTACAGGAACGCGAGCTGCAGCTGCGGTTTGTGCGGGCGTAGGAGGCGAGATACGGTTGAGGAGGGACGGTGGTGCGGGCGCGGGCGCGGGTGCTGGTCTGCGCGCGTCGTCGTCGTCGGTGATGATCTCAATCTTTATCGGCCTGCCTACACGCGCACAGCATGGGTGAGTGTCATGGAGATGGAGAATGGGACTGCCCAGGCGCGAGGGAGCACGGGTGTGAGCGAGGGTACCTCACGTAGTCATTGCCGCAGAATGACATCTCTCCCACCCGCATTCTCTCAGCACTGTGCGCTCACAGGAGATGGGCTGACATTGACCGACTCCTGCGCCTCGAAACGTTCGCAAGGAATGTAGAACTCACGTCCGTCGACAATCTTTCCATTGTACTTTGCGCGCGCCACAGCCGCGTCCCCTTGTCGGGTGAACGAGACAATGGCCATGCCCCGCGAGTTCCCCTGCGAGTTGTAGACCATAAAGACATCCTTCACAGGCCCGACCGTCCTGGAGAAGAGGATCTGTGGGACCGGGACGTGGAGGAGACATGGACCCGCACGGTCAGCCACCCCGCCGCGACACTCGTATTCGCGCTAGACGCACCTCGACCTCGTTCTCCACGACATCTGGCGGGAGACGGCTCAGCAAAATCTTGCTGCCAACCTCTGAACCTGAGCCTGATGCTGCTGCGCGGGCGTTGGGCTTCCAGGCAGGCGCGGGGCGGGCTCCTTGGTTTCCGAGGATGTTCTGTTTGTGTGAGTGGTAGTTGTTCAGGCGGGGGTGGTAGTTCTGCATGGTTCAACCGATAGTCTGAAGCAAATACTAGGATATTGTTATCGCTGCAAGGTAGATAGAAAGAAGTGCTCGAGGAAGGGAGGACACTGGACAGGAGCAAGCGGGTGCAGAGTGCGGCGGACAAGGGGCGCGACACGCCTCAGAGTCGCGCGCGGTCACAGTGTGTCACTCGCCTCGTGTTCGCGCACGGTCGCGCGTCGCGCCGCGGGTGCAGGCTTGCCTTGCTACTCTTGCTCATCTCCTCAAACATAAGCTGTTGCGCGCGAGATGCTCGCCTCGACCACCGCGTGCAGCTCGACATTATTGCCCAATTGTACGCGCATCCAGCGGAACAACACACCGGACCGAAGCACCGCAGTCATATGCCAGGCATATCATGGCCTCCCGCCTCCGATACCTCGGTCTAGAAAGACATAAGTGGCGATATTACGTGCAGTTGTGAAGATTTCTCAGCCGCGAGACCATGCTTGATCGCACTCAAAAGGGCGGAAGGGACGACTTCTTTCTATCTCGGACGTCAAACACCGTCATGTCCTCACACACGCTCGAGCTTGCTGCTACTGCCCTCCGTACCGCCGCATCGACATCGAAAACCAGCCTTGATAATGCCATCGATGAACGCGAAGAGGATGAGGAGGTCGCGGATGTCGCCTCGTACGTGCGGACGTCGAGCTTGCGACCGGTTGCGCCAGACGTGACGGGAACCGGGTCTGTCGCCTCCCTCAAGCTCCCCCACACCCACGTCCTCACCCGCGACCGCGTTCGTCGTCGATCTGAGCTCGCCCGACACCCCCCTCTCGACTCTCCCCCCGCGGTCGAGCCCGAGGCCATTGAACTCCCCGTCATCAAGGAGTACGAGCATCCCTACGGCAAGGGTGCCTCTTCGGGTGTCCGCCCGACAGATATCAGCTTCCAAAATGACGTCGTTTTCTCCTCGCAGAGAGACGACGTTGAGATTGCGCCCAGTTTCCCCAGCTCGCTCGCCCCGTCCGTGCTGGAGGACACGGATTCGACTGCTCCTGCGATCACTGCTGCACAGAAGGCGGTCCAGAAACGAAAGCGGATGATCAACTTCATGCTACTTTGCTTTGTCATCTTCATGAACGGCTGGAACGACGGTACCACCGGTCCACTACTGCCCAGGATTCAGTCGTACTACGGGGTGAGTATTGAACATGATGATACACACCGTGCAAGGCTGATAACGTACGAAGCTCGGATTCGCCTCGGTGTCTCTTATCTTCGTCTTCAACGCTGTCGTGAGTGCATACAATTTTTTCTCGTCACAGCAGCGGCGTTTTTCGTAGGCCGGTCTCGGATACAGACACGGACTATCGTAACAACACCCCGTGGACCGTCTCGGAACACTGCGATCACAGCGTCTGTGGTTAAGCGGGCTGGGCGAGAATATCCCGCGGCTTCTCATTCCCGGGTATCCACTGACGAGGCCGACAGGGCTACGTCGCGGCCGCTGTGGCGAATGTGTATCTGACCGACCGCTTTGGCTTCGGGAAGGTCATGCTGTTCGGTGAGCTGTCCTGCCGGAACCTTTTACTCAGACGGACTCACAATCACCGTTGTCCAGGCTCCGTCCTGCAGGTGGCCGCCTATGCGATGCTGTTCCCCCCGGGGCCCTTCCCGCTCATGTGCGTGGGCTTCACGATGATCGGCTTCGGACTCGCCCTCCAGAACGCACACTGCAACGGGTACGTCGCGTCCTCAAAGGAGAATGTCCCTACCAAGATTGGCTATCTGCACGCCTCTTACGGTACGTGTCCATCCCTTGCTCCCACAGGGCCGACGCTGACGTTCGCGGATGGTGTAGGCTGCGGCGCCCTCATCTCTCCGCTCATTGCGACGCAGTTTTCCAAACAGAGCCATTGGTCTTACCACTACCTCATCTCAGCGGGATTGTACGCCCTCAACTCCGTGCTGTTGTGGGTCGTCTTCCGTGGCAGACGGCAAGATGGTACGCTCGTTTCGCTGGTTTGTCTAAATGGTAGACATCTATCCATATCCTTTCCGTTCATCCAGAAATCAAGAGGGAGGTCGATGATCTCAGCCCGGACCAAGACGCGATTCAGACGAACAAGTACAAGCAGATCTTCACCATTCGCGCGGTGCACGTCCTCGCCCTCTTTTCGCTGATATACGTCGGCACGGAGGTCACGATCGGCGGCTGGAGTGTCACATACGTCCAGGAGAAGCGCAACGGGAACTCGAATGCTGGGTACATCTCGTCCGGCTTCTTCGCAGGGCTTATGCTCGGGCGCCTCCTCTTGATGTGGCTCAACAAGAAGGTCCGCAGTCTGCACCTTCTCCGAAGCCTGCTGACCGCGAGTTGCAGATCGGCGAACGCCGCGCTCTCTTCCTGTACGCTCTTCTGGCTATTCAGTGCGTCCCTCAATTTCGCTATTATATCGCGCTCCACGGCTGACCACCTTACGCCATGCACAGACTGGAGGTGACTGTCTGGGTGGTGCCCTCGCTCATCGAGAACGCCGTCGCGGTCGCGTTCGTCGGACTGCTCCTCGGACCCATGTACCCGATCCTCATGAACCACACCACGAAGATTCTCCCGCGCTGGCTCCTCACCGGCTGCATGGGCTATATTGCTGGCATCGGGCAGGCCGGCTCGGCGGTGTTGCCGTTCCTCACCGGTCTCCTAGCGTCGAGGTTCGGAATTACGAGTTTGCAACCGTTGTGAGTGTCTGAGTCGTGCTCCGTTGTGTGGGTAAGGTGGATGGCATGCTGACGAGGAGCGTGCAGCATTGTCTCCATGATGTCGACTATGATCGTCATTTGGGCTTTCATTCCGCGTGCGCGCATGGTCCCGGTCTGAGCGTTCGCCATTTGTAGCTTTCAAAACTGGGTAAATCGTCACGGTCGAGGGTTATCGTCGTATCATCTTGGTTATAGATGGGTATCGGGCACATAGAAGGGTAGATCAGTGTTGTATGTATGCCAACCACTGTGTAGCACCTGGAGAAGTCTCGCTTATATAGATATTGTTGTGCAGTTATCGCCGTCTCGTCATGATTGCGGTGTCCATCACATGTTACACGCTCGCAGCTGCCTCTATTCCGCTATGCTCAACGTTGTAGTTACACCACCTGACTCGTGCGTATGCAAGCCGATACGGACAACTTCAAACGTCGCATTGCGATACGATCCACACGGCCTACTCATTTTCTGCTGCGTACAGCTGGAACTCCCATGGAAGGCGCTGCTGCGGCCCGCCCTCGCTGAACCATATTCGACGCAGTCGGCAGGTGGCATACACCTTCACGTAGGATACGTGGGAGTACGTGCCGCTCGGGACCTGCACTCCCCCGGAGCGGCGGTCGAGCGGGGGAGGCGAACCTGGCTGGTCTGTCTCATCCTCGTCTGCACGGGCGAGAGAGGCGGACGAGAAGTGCGGGAGGAGCGAAGGGAGATTCAATGATATCGTCGACCACGAGGTGAGCGGGCGGGATGATGCAGGCGGGAACGAGAGAGGGAGAAGGAGGAGCGGGGGATTTGTGAGCTTCAGCTTCGGCCGCTTCTGCCCATGATAAGTCAGTATGCCACTCAGAAGTATCAATGACTAGAAGAGCTCAAACGATCCGTACAAATTATTTGCTCCGACTCACAGAGCCGACATAACAGGGCATGCGCCGCCCCTGCATTGCGTAGGCGAGTACTCGGACTCGCAACACCATACCAAGAACAACATGGACCTCACAAGGGTTGTGTATCACGCTCGACATACGCACACAATTCGATTACGGCAAGGAGGAGCTTCTTGTACGAAACACAAGAGAC